AACTTCCATTTTGTTCTCCACAGTGGCTGGACCACTGTTTACATTCCCACCAGCATTTATCCTTTATTTTTTTTCAATCTTCACCATTCTGACTGGGGTTAGGTGGTATCTCATTGTGGTTTTGATCTGCATCTCCCTTATGATGAAAGATGTTGAACATTTTTCATAGGCTTTTCGGCTTTTCATATGTCTTCCTTAGAGAGCTGTTTATTCAGCTCCTTTTCCCATTTTAAAATTGGGTTAATAATTTATTTTTTCAGATAAGCTGCCTAAGTTCCCTGTGTATTCTTGTCAGTCCCTAATATGAGGCATAGATTACAAAAATCTTCCCCCATTCTGAGGGTTGTTGATTCATACTAATTACTATGTCTTTTGCTGTGTAGAAACTTCTTAATCTGATGTAATCCCACTTGTCTATTTTTGGGATCATTGCCTGTACTTTGAGGGTCTTATTTAAAAAATCTTTGCCTACCCCAATGTCTCCCAGAGTTTCCCCAGTGTTTTCCACCAATAGTTTTATAATTTGAGATCTTAGGTTTAGATCTTTGATCCACTTTGAGTTGATTTTTTTAAAATGGTGAGACATGGAGGTTCAGATTCATCTTTTTGCAGGTGAGTATCCAGTTTTTCCAGCAGCATTTGCTAAAGAGGTTTTTCTTTTTCCACTAGATTTACTGGTAGCTTTTGTCAAAAATCAGTTGGCTGTATGTTTTGGGATTTCATTCTGAGGTCTGTATTCTGTTCCATTGGTCCACATATCTATTTTTGTGCCAATACCATGCTGTGTTGATTAGCACAGCTTTGTATTAAACAAGAGTTTTAAACAAAAGTTTCAAATTTTAAAATATGAGATCCTGGGGACAGTAGGTTGCTCAGTGGTTAAGGCCCTAGACTCCCACATGGCTGACTTGGAGGCTTGTTACTCTCTCTCTCTCTCTTTCATCTCTCTCTGTTGAGCATATATGCCCTAAAACAAAATTTCTTTTTTTTTGGAGAGGTTTTTTTTTTTTTTTTTTTTGGCTATAGGGCGCGTGTGCTCGCCAGACAGAGAGAGACAGAGAGACAGAAAGCAAGAAATCACCCCCCAGGGGGGATGGCCACGCCGCAATCCCTTCTCCTCCATTCTTCTCTCGGGATCTTGGGCACGCATGCGTGAGTTTAAGCCACCAAATCCGTAATTCGAACTGCGGTTGACTACATGGGAGTTCAGCGACATAGCCATTACGCTAACTGCTGGTCCCCCTAAAACAAATTTTTAAAAAAGATAAAACATAAATAAATAAAAAAGTGAAGTATGAGATTCTGTTTTTTTTTTTTTTAAAGAGAGATTTTTGCTATAAGGCATGTGCGCTTGCTGGAGAGACAGATACAGTGAAATATAAAGTGAGAAATCACCCCCAGAAAGGATGGTCATGCTGCAATCCCTTCTCCTATGGTCTCCTCTTAGAATTTTGGTCTTAGAATTTTGGGCACACATGGACATGTATCTGGTGTGAGTTTTAAGCCACCAGGTCTGGGACTTGATCCGCAGTTGACTAAGTGGGAGTCCAGCAATGTAATCATTATACCATCTCCTGGTTTCAAGTGTGAGATTCTTAATGAAGTTTACAGAAAGGACTATAACCTTATTTTCCCCCTAAATCCAGGCAAACAAATTTTCCATCCTCTCCCCAAAATATGTGGTTTATTTGGATACTATTGAAAGGAAAAAGAAGGCAAGTTAGAGAAAGAATTCTTTTATATTGATATCTGCTTTAATTCTTTAAATTAGAATCTGTCAAATAATCACTCTGCTGCTATTGTCACATTTTTAAATACAGGATTTCAGCCTATCCTTCCCTTAAAATGAGCCCTTCGTTATGCTAAGAGTGTCTCAAGCTTAGGTGACCATACAATTTTGTTTGTTATGTGTTTTATTTGACCTTTGCCTTCATTCGAGCCTCTGCATATGAAAAATATCCATTTGGCATCCCCTTCATTGAGTTTGTGTTTTTCTTTATAGTATACTGTTCTACTGTTAAATATGACAAATGTGCAAAGAGTTGTTCTACCTTCCCCTTTCTCTGTCTCAAAATGTTTGAAGAGAAGGCTTAAGGTATTTTTTTTTTGTATAAATTTATGACTAAAGATTGTTATGGAATGTGGTCACAATAGGCTGAACCTAGAAAAAAACTTGTTTGAATTATTAATATTTTAAAGAAATTGTCTATTTAATTTTTATTCATTCATTCATTTAATTTTTAATTTGATAAGAGAGAGACAGAGAGAGAAAAGGAGGGAAAGTGAGAAAACAAACAACCTGGTCCGGGACTCAAACTGTGGTTGGCCACGTGGGACTATCTAGTGCCTTAACCACCACACCACCTGCTGACTCTGTCTGAGTTATTTTTTGGTCAAAGATGTCAGCACAGAAGAGAACTCTAACTCATCCATAGAGAGAAGAGCAAGGTTCTTATTTTTAATTCTTTTGGCCATTTCTCTTCTCTTGCTTTACTTTTTTCTTTTTTTAAAACTTTTAAATTTTTTCTTTCTGTATTTATGCAAAGTTAAGTTTCTCACTTTTTTCTATTTATTTCACGATCTTATTAAAAAAATTGTATTTTACTTCTTTCTGTCTCTACATTATAAGAAGAGAGCATAAACTATTTAAAGCTTGATTCAGTCAGCTTGCATCTTTTCTATCATGATTTGCAAACTTCTGTTTTTTCTTGTTTGAGCACCGAATGTGTTCTTATGGAAAATGCAAAAATTCAGAGGTTTCCTAGTGATAAAAGCAGGAAATACCTGCACTATGACAGTAAAGCAAACTGTCTATGCAATGCAGTGTGAGGCTTGTTCCTTTACAAGAGCAGACGTCCTCCTCACAGGATTAGAGAATCTGGATCAAGAGTTTGTTCAGCAGAGAACATACACATATCAGAAGCACTAGGTTCACTGAGGAAAAGCCTTTTCTAAAAGCCCTGTGCTGACACAGGGGTGCTGGTTCCTCTCTAAGAGTCTAGCATCTGGGGTGGAGGCATTCTCTAACTGCAGTGAGCTGGAAAGACGCTCCCAATCAAGCTCATCCATGGCCTCTCGATGCATCTGGATGCTTGTGATTTCCTTCACATTGCGTGAGTAATATTTTTGATCAACTTTTTGAT